CGTTTTTTTCTCACGGAGGTTTTAAGTGTATTTTCCCGCAGAAACTTCACACTTAAGCTGCATAATTATTATATATTTTGGGAGGTGATATATCAGGGCTTGCTTGTGAAAACGTTCGATTGATTCTACGCATTAGATTTTGGTCGGTGCCATTTCAAATATGGGAAGTGAAAATCAGAATTTTCGACATATTTTACTATCGAAAAGGTAAAAGTGCTGTTAAAGAAAGACACAAATTACCTTTTGTGTGTTGAGAAGATGTCTTGACAGAACACCAGTGCCAAAACTGGTTTGCAAAATTTCGATCAGGCGATTTTGACCTCGATGATGCACCACGTTCTGAAAGGCCAATTAAAGTTGATGATGACGCAATAAGGGCAGTAATTGATGCAAACTGGCGAATAACAACTCCTTAGAGCACGGAGATATTACATTTATCAAATTCGACCGTTCGTGATCATATGAAATGCGTAGGTTTATTCTCAAAGCTCGACATATAGTTTCTTCATGTTCTTACAGAAAGAAATTTGTGGTGTCGTATCGACTTTTGTGATTTGCTTCTCAAACGTCAAGAAAATTATCCATTTTTGAAGCGTATCATCACTGGGGAATGAAATCCGCTGTCTACAACAGCGCAGGAGATCATGGAGTAAAAAAAAATTAAACTGACTCGAAAGATGAACCATTCGAAAATCGATATTCATCCGAAAAAATGTGATGCTGTCCATTTGGTGGTATTTCAAAGAATCTCTTTTTTTTTTTTTAAAGTTTGTACCGAACAACACAACGATCAATTCTGAAGTGTGCTGTGATCATCTGGACAAACTGAATGATTCAGTTAAACAAAAAAGTCCATAATCGATGAATATAAAAGGTATGTTGTTCCTACAAGATAATGCGAGACCTCATACAAGTTTGGTAACTCGCCAAAGGCTTTTACAGCTTAGATAAGATATAGTGCCACACCCACCATATTGTCCAGATCTGGCATCTTCAGGTTAGTAGTTGTTCCGGTCTCCATAAAATGTTTTATAAGGCAAAACCTTTACTTCAAATGAGGAGGTCAGAAATCACAACTAAGAAAAAAATTTATGCGTGTGGAATCATGTTACTGGCAGAAAAATGGCAAACGATATTGCACCAGAAAGGACTATACATTATTCAATTAAATATTTATTCGCTATAAGAAAATCTGTTTTCATTTTCATATAAAAAAACAGAAATTACTTTCCGAACAATCCAATATATGCTAGTTTAGAATCATATTGCTCTAATGATCACAAAGTATATGTATCAAATATAAACTGAAACTGTATAGAGAAAATATATGAGGAAAAAGCGCGAAATATTTAAAAAGCACCTGTGTTGAAATATGTAATAATTTAAGTATTTCAATAAGCTTCAACTTTCAAATAGTTATACATAGGTTTTATTAGGATTCCTAGGTGCCACAGTCTACGAGGGCTTACTTGCACTGTAAGGTGGATCTCACGCTTTGGATGCAGCCTGACGGAATTGCTGTTGGACATTATGGATGCTCATTTTTGGGATAGATAGCGTTTTGAGATGATACCTGCTTATTGATGGGGAACAGCCAGGTAAGCTACATACTTTTTAATCTACTGTACTGTGATAAGTTAGACAGTCAGAAAGAAATTAATTTGCAATTACCTTTTCTTAACTTCCTTGTACGAAGTAAAGGAATTATTTTAATCGTAAAAAATATCGTATTTTATGTTTCAACGAAAACATCCAGTTCGACAGCTCTGGAAATCATTTGAACGATGTTCTAGATTGACATCTGTACGTATGGACAGAATGAAGCCAAAACGGATTGTAAAATGGAATTAAAATGGATTCAGAAGAGTTTTTTTATTCAGGCCTGTACGTACGTATGTATGTATCCCGCATATTTCAAGAACGAGTAGCCGTAGAACTTTGAAATTTTGTATATAGGACTCCTATAACATGTAGTTGTGCACTTCCCTTTCTCGTTGCATCGACTGCAATAAACTTACTCTGTTACCTGTGTCGGTGAGCTTAGTATTTTATTCTTATATATTGGTAAACTGGGCATATTTTACTTTAAAGCTATTGAATTATGTGGTTTTCTGTTTCGGAAGATTTTTATGTTTTTAGTTAATCTGCATGCAATAGTTGTAGAATTATCAATAATTTAAATGTTTAAGTGTCGAGTTAAGCTTAAAGCATTTGTTTACGTTTGAAACTCGGTAGAACAATGAATTCATTTTCTGCACCTTCAGTATCTTTTTGCCGAGTCGGACCAAAAGTAAGCTTTCAATTTTATGCACCAAAAAATCTGCCTTCTTGCCCGCTGGCCGAACTGCTTGTTTTTGCGTAGAAACTGTAAATTTAATTGTAAAAATTGTTTTCTAATTGTTTTATGTTTTCTGTGTTTTAAAATTTTTAATGATGTTTTGAGTTTTTATGTATTTTTGTTTTTCGCGAAGTGGGAACTGAATTAATTGAATGAATCTCTAATTAAATTTGAGAAAATAGGTTTAAATAAAATGCAACAAGAAATGCTCATAATTTTATACGCCATACAAGGAAGTCATTTAGTGTCGATATCAGACTTTTTTGTGTGGTATATAATCAAGGAATTTTATTCATCAAAAATAATTTATTTTAGTTGTTGCAAAAACTAAATTTATTTATTTGTCTTCAAATGGCTAGCTCTAATTAGTCAAGTTGTTGTATAGAATGTAAGCCAAATTTGTCTTAGAATGTTAACCCATATTTTAGGCTTACTTCCTATGCTTAAACAAAAATTTACAAAGTTTAGAAAATGTAGGGTGTGATATAATGCGTTTGTAGACTATGGTCTAATGCGTATGTAGACTATGTTCTAATGCATATATAGACTGTGGTATAATATATTTGTAGGCTGTGGTGTAATGCATATGCAGACTAGGGTGTAATGCATATGTAGGCTATGGTGTAATGCATATATAGGCTGTGGTGTAATGCATTTGTGGACTATGATGCATATGTAGACTATGGTGCAATGCATATGTAGACTATGGTGCAATGCATATGTAGGCTGTGGTGTAATGGATAAATAAATAAATAAACACAAAAACAGTCACTGAGTTGCTATGGGAAATTCTCCCACAAAATATATTTATAATATCATTGATATATATACACCGTTTTGAATGATATCTTCTCGTAGATATCGTTAATTTTTATCCATCCATAATATATGGATGCTGATCCAATCCCTGGTAGACAAATAACTTTCTCATCACGATAACTTGACCCGAAAACATAGATTTCTATCAAATGTGACATAATGTAATATTCTCTTTTCTTGAAGTGTCAGCAATACAATTCTCCATCACAGTAACACTAGAAGTGCGGTAACTTCAGCGCCGCCTTGGGAGCGGTTCGAAAAGTCTTGACTTCAAATGCGTGCACAATAGCAAGGACGTACAAATCTCTTTATGATAATTTGCAAAACAGTTGTTGCTATAAATGCTTTGAATCACGCAACATATTTCTTTTAATATAAAGAAGTAATTTCTCGAATTATAGTTAGTAACTGCAGCTCTGAAATATATTTAAGAAAATGCACAAATAAGCTGAAATATATAGATATATTACTACATAATAAATCTACATATTTCACAAATAATATATATAATTGCAGAAGTAAGCTGACATATTTAAATAGGCATTTGAACAATTATACAAACGGATAATTTTATTGATGTATATTTTTCGCCATCTATAACGTGTGTATCTTCTCTTGTATGAAACGAGATCAGGAAGTAAATTTAAAAATTTACACTATCCCGAAGGAAGTCTGAGTTCGAAAATTACAAACGCATGCTTGATAAGAAATCCGTGAATGTGCGTTGTGAAAACTATGTTAAAATTTCTGATTTTTTTTTTATTTTTTATATCAGAATATATATACTAGAAAGTAATTTCCTAGCATTTAAAAGAAGACACTTCAACGAATGTATATTACAAGTTACGTATTTTTGGGGGAATTTATTTTTTGTATATTTTACGTATTAAATTCATTCTTGTATGATGTAATCTTTTCTTTCCCACACTTTCTACGGGTTGTCATGATAATATTTTACACAGGTATCCTACGTCTAAATGGGTTAGAAGCGAATGCCATTGTGTTACCCAGCACCCCCACGCGCGGCCCGAGTGAGTAAGACGCCACATACTGGTAGTTAGACTTGGTTTCGGTTTGATCCTAATCGAACGGGTTAGCTGCATGGTTCGTTCCTGCGATTTTTCTCATGTGTAACGTTAATGCGAGCCCCTTTCCCTTTGATAGTCCTCCATAAAGGCAAACCTCCTCTTCTCCTTCCCAAGGGATCGACGAAGAGAACTCTGTGACGCTACTGGCTAGGATCTGTACCTATAATTCTGGGCTGCCCTGCGCGCGAGACATAACCACATATGGAGGTTCTCGCCCCCTCAGCACGAGGCGCGGAGGTTCAACCTCCCCTCTCGCACCGCCTGGAACCACCAGACGGCACTGGTCGTCGATTTACTACCTACCAGTCGCAATGGGACATTACCCAGCGTATCTGGGGACGCTAGGACGTGCCAGACCACCAGGCCGGCCAATGGGTGACTTGTCCGGGGACTTCAGAATCACCAAGTTCATAAGTTTTATACCCCCGTGGTCGAGACTGTCTAGGTACAGATCCTAGCTAGTAGCTTCGTAGAGTTCTCTACGTCGCCCTCCCGGGGGGTGCACCGGTAGGATCTGTACCTAGGAAGTCTCCTCCTAGGTACAGATGCTCCTCTTAGGCCTAATACTCCTCTTAGGCCACGGGTGTACAGAAAGAGGCGCAGCCCCCCATCCACCTAATCGATTTGATTTTATGACTTTTCCAGGGGGCGCCAAGTTAAAAACCACACAATAAAATACGCCCATTAGGATATAACCTAATGGACCTTAACGGCACAATAATAATTAAAATAAATAGAATGGTTAGAAACTAACTAAACAAAAGGAAAGGACAAAACACAAGACACAGACCATGCTCTATCATAAAAACACTAAACACATGTTAAATCAAAATTCCGACATTAACACGATTATTATTAATAAAATTCATTAATTCCCTAGCAAATTCAAATTCAGTAAAACACCACGGGTGTATAAAATTCATGAGTTTGGCTATACTAGAACTTCTCGGTTCATTAAGGTCAGATCCGAGAGACTGCCGTAAGTATATAATAACGACGGCATCAGTATCTCAGTAGGACGGGTTTTCTGGGTAATGGCCTGTGTGACGGACGCGCAGTACTGGCTGGAGCATTTAGACCACCATTCAAACTTCCAAGCGAGTAGGTCACGCCGTACAAGTAGCTCCGAGAACAGGGAATGGTGACCCCTTGGACCCGGCTCTTTGACGAGGGACGTTTCCTCTTTGCAGCGACCGGGAGGGGTGGCGTTCTCTCGGACTGGTCCTCGAGTTGTGGTTCTATCAAACTTTGTATGGGAGGACGTGATCCTTCTGGCCCCGGGGCCACACTGTGGTTCTCGTCCAGAGAAATCAATTTAAGTAATCCGTATGGCCCCCGAAGTGGGGACCCACGGGTTCGTTAAGTGTATATGTGAAACCTCTTCAAAGGGACCTTTTCTGGACTACCCCCCCCCCTTGCCTAATATGGCGGCTCTCAGATGAGATTCCAGCCGAGCAGTTGCATTGAGTTACAGGAGCTCGTAAATAAAATGTTACCTGTTACACCTCCTCTTAGGCAAGTACATTAGAAAGTCCTCCACAGAGGCATCCCTCCTCTTAGGCAGATAGCCCTCGAGGCTTTGCCGTAATTAAATAACCTAACCTAACCTTAGGCAAGTACCCCTAGTGGCTTTGCAGTATTCAAGTAAGCTAACCTCGTAAACCAGCGCGGTTATCATCCCTCATAAGCGCATGCGCATTCAGTATTTCTGGACTAGAGCCTTTCTTATTGACAAATATATTTGCCAATCGTCTTTACCTACCAAAACCACGACGCTTCCTGGCGTAAATTGTAAACCAGTGCCGAACGTGATTGGTGTACCAGAGCCAAAGGTAGGCAGGAAAAGGGTAGTGCGCATTTACGCAAAAGGGTATTTATAGAGTCGGGTTTCTTTGTTTAAATTTAAACTGCGTTTGGATAAAAATATCCGCAATGTTATTCTTACATACATAATGGCGCAATGTAGATTAATTTTTAGCTGAAGCACATGTATTAATTCATTGATAGTTGTTTTTAAGAAAGCATTCTTTTAAACCTGGTGCGATTTAAAACCATTTATAATAGTTACTAGCTCTGTTTTTGAATCCTTGTAAATTTGCATTTAAATGCATTAACATATATGGGGAATGAATGAAAAATTAAACGCATTTCTTCCTTCATAAGATTACATGTGCTGTTTTGTGTTAATGATCCAGAAACGAATATGTTTGTACATTTCGTAATTGACTTAACTATGAGTTAAACATAATGAATGTTAAACATCCTAATGGGACATCCAACAATGCTCTGAAATACATTTAGCTGTTCTTAAATGTGCGTTTAACAAAGGACATTATACAATATGTGAAAAAATGAGTAACATTTCTAAACTGAACTGTATTTTAAAGCAAAATTCAAAGTTTATTTGAACAACGTGATTACACTATCCGATCATTTTGGATTAAAATCTGCGATACTCAACTTTATCTTAGAATATTTTTTTCCGTGTTCCTTAGCTCGCCGTTACGAAATGGCTGTTATTTGTTGGAAGGTAATTATCAGAATTCAAAGAAAGTAACGGTAATGAGATTTATATTTCATTACCGTTATATTTTTTATACTAGAGAAATTTCAGTAATTGCATTTTACAGTAAAAATATTTCTAGACGAGAGTAGAGTAATTAAATGAAATCTACTTTGGAAGAGATATTATGTTATTAAATAATATTTTATCTATTTATGGATACATTCATATATATTTATATTTCTTCCTCTTTTAGAAAAGGCATTTTCCTAATGTTGTTTTATTTATTCAATGTTTTTCTAACGAAACTGGCAACAAAATCTGTTATTTATCTGGAACTAAATTCTAAAAATTTATATTTATGAATGAGCACATTTGTACATAGATGTGATTTTGCATTAACATAACAATCTATAAATAATATGAATTTTAATGAACCTAAATTATTTTATAATAATTTTAATAGTTTATAATCGATTTTAGTTTCTTAAAATGGTATAAAAGTTTTAATTTGTGTTTTTTGTATCATTCCTTTATGACCCTTCAGACTGTTTTATGTGATTTTGTGCGAATACAGGTTTAAAATAAACAAATTAATAAATAGATCTGTACACTACAAAAATAAATCTCCTATTTCTCAGAATCTTTAAAAATTCAAAATCAACCTATATAAGCAATTTCAAAAACGCAGTAAAAGTTATGTGAAACATCTTTTGTACACATTTCACATCGATATCACTGAATAGCCCTTGAGTTTGCCCTACTTTTTAAGGATTTGGTTTCCTCGGCTTTTCATTGTGCATTAAGGGATATAATGATGTGCAACATTTCTGCAGCACAGCAGCTTCGAAGAAAGAAAGGATGCTGATAGGCTTGTTTTTACTAGTCAGTCTCATGGAAAACTGCATGATATCGTTTTCAAAATACCGGAATCGATTATGAAACAGAATAGATTGATTTATAAAATCAACCTTAGTCTTCGCATTGTGCACGCATTACACTTCCATTTCAATGTTTGTTGAAATTTCATATTTGGTCTTGTTTAGCGGTAATCAAACCAATAACCTTCAGCACATGGATAGGCACTGAGAGGTGCTTGTGCAAAAAACCACCTCTATTGTCTGTCTGTCTGTCCTTTCCTCTTGGTAAATTATTTTCGTGTTTGCTGTTTACAGTAATTGTCACCGCAGAAGAAGGCAAGATATAATAATCAGGACAGATAGATTGGCGAAAGAGATGAAAACACCCGGAGCTTTGTCGAGGTAACTGCTATTCAGAAGGTTGTCGCACAAACCTGTAATAAGAAATATCCTTTAAAAGTGAAGCAATAAACATTGAAATACATAAAAATAAGCAAATGGACAACATAATGTACGCTATTAAAATCTGTGCTCCTCCTGTCTCTGTGTTTGTTTATAACATTATCTCCTCCTGAACGGCGGGGAGTTGAATTTCCAGAGAGATTCCAAAAATTCGTGGGAAGCCATTTTGACCAGTCCCATAGTCGTACGGCTTTAATTAGCGCAGATATTAATTAAAAACTCTGAACACGTTCTTTTCACCCTGACTTTTCCGAGTGGCAACAGTCTGAATCGCTCTAAACAAAAAATCTACTTATTTCGAGTGTTTCCAATGCTTGCTTTCAAATCGTAGTTTGTTAATGAAAAATTTCGAAGTTTTACAAAATATAAAATAAAAATACCCCAACATTACATATATTATTGCTAATTTATCAAATTCGTGGTAAGCCATTTCAACTGTTCCCATATTTGTACGATTTAAATCAGCCGAAATATTAATTAAAAACTCTGAAAACACTTATTTTCGCACACATTTTTTCAGTTGGTAACAGTGTCGCGCATTGGAGATAAAAATGTTTTATTTCGAAAAACTGTTGCCATTATCCGCTTTTAAATCTTAAAGTTTATTAATAACAAATTTGTAAGCTTTCTAAAATATGAAATAAGAGTAGCATCGTCAAACATTAAATATATTATTATTAATAAGGTCATGTTCTGACGTTGGTAAAGGAATTCGATTTGATATTACGACATTCTACGTCGAAAATCTTTCATTAATGTCAATATTTTAAATAAATAGCTGCTACTGGCAACTTTTCTAATTCAGGTTAGGATAATTGACACGATATGTTACTGTTATCAGGTTCAGTGTTCCTCCTTACTTGCTTGGGGAACATAAAATGACCTGACTCGGAACAGGGCGCTTACTAAAGCTATGTTCAATAAATGTGGGAAGTAGACAAGATACACAGGAAGGGTATACGAAACCCTTTATTTTTCTCTCTTTACAATGATTTTCGGACTTCGGAATACAGAGACCAACCACTTGTGGTCTGAACGTAAGAATATAAAAATATTAACTAAATTCTAACTAAACTAACTTTGGATTAATAAACAAGTGGCTACTTGAAGATTGGCGGTATATTAACAGAAAGGCCGTATGTAGTATAGAGAACTGTTAACACTACGATACGTTTAAAATTATCAAGAGGATTAAACCTCTGGCCTGGAAGGCAACCAGCAACCGATTAAAACTGCTAAGGCAAGCGGCCTGCTTCTATTAACTCCTTCCTCTCTCTTGCTTGGCAAAAAACCACAACTTAAGCACTTGGCGTTCGCAAGAAAAATTTGCATAAATAAGTTAACGCTTTTAATTCTGGCCGGAAGTAGAAAATAAGAAGTGATAGTAAAGATTTAAAATAAAATAAACGTTAGTAAAACTTAAGATCCTTACACTGTTACCTTAATGTTGTTATTGATATTGAGAAAACGTTGTTACACTACATTGAATTTAAATGGCGTCGTACGGATTAACGTGAAGTGTCAAAATTTTTGTTTTATGGTTTTGCAAGGACACACCAGCGGCCGAGCAGTAAAGTCGCTAAACACTGGTAGTTCGATCCGAGGTTCGAATCCCGCGAATGGGCTGGCTGCATGAGTGTTTTCGTGGTTTTTCTCATGTGTAAGGTGTATACGAGCCAGTTTCCCTTAGAACGTCCTCCACGAAGGCATCCCTCCTCTTAGGCAGATAGCCCTCGAGGCTTTGCCGTAATTAAATAACCTAAATTAACCTAACCATGGTTTGGCAACAAAAATTATTTACGAGCTGGTTTTTGCTTGGAAAGAATGAATTGCTTTCACCTAGTGTTTTTACACATTTTATTTCAAATGTGCGTAGAACATGTATGTTTTGCTTTGGCCGCAGCCTGCTTGTATTACATTAAAATATTAAGCTTATGGATTGTTTTGCCAAACGTATGTAAACGTCACATAAATTCTGTAAATGAATGATGCCAATTTAATAAAATAAGTGCGATCATTATTTAAAACCAAATAAATATTTGAAAGAAATTATTAAGAATATATGTGTGGCGATTAAAGAGACTTAAAATGTTATTTGCATATTTATTCTTCTGTGATGTGAAATATTAAAAAGCGAATAAGACATGATGATATAACGCAAGTATTATATTGCTATAAGCGAAAGGTGATCACTTTATTGTACAATTTTCTTGACATTAAAGTAATCAGATGTAATTTTAGTTAAAACTGTCATATCAGGTATAAAGCATTTCTGTTTTTAACTGATTTTCCATCTCAAACTGGGGCGGATATTTACAGTTAGAAGACCCAGCAATACCTAATATACACCTACATGAATGCAAAAAGGCCGACTTCGCTTTTGCTTTCTTTTAAAACGCTATCTTTCTAGATAATTATACGATGACTTAGAGCTAGTATTATTATAAATTAAACTTCAAGTGCTATTTGCCCGTTGTTTGTTTTGTTTTATTTGATGGTATCTGCTGTACCCTTTGTTGCATCATGTCTACTCTAGTAGACAAAAGTTTAAATTTGTTTATTCTTCTGTAAATAACTTAACAGCTTCCATTCCTGTGTTTATTCATTCTATATTATTTGAAATTTCAACTGTCGATCATAGATGGCTGTATAGCATCACTAAGTAAAGCATTGCTATTTGGAAAATGGCTGCTACTGCAGTTTCCAAGTTAGTACAATTTCTCATAGTAAACACTATATAATATTGCTTACATTTTCTTATACAGCCATTTTTTATTCATAATTAGTCATTTTAGACATTTTATTTTAAATGTCAGTTTGAGAAAAATTGGGGAGTGGGTCGAGAAAGATCTACCGAAAAGAGTGAATTGAAACCCAAAATGGACTGCTTATCAAGCCAAAACACCACTGGAAATGTTTATGTTTGGCAAGGAATTTCTAGAACATTTGAATCCAATAGGTACAGGTTACAAAACAGTAGCAAAATGAATTCCATCACAATCGACGAAATGAAGGTATTTTGGGGGAATCTGGATGTACACGTCAGTTGTAGATTTACCATTTAGGAGATGGTAATGATCACTGCAAACAAGGCAGGAAATGATTTCAAATGCAATGACCGTAAATCGTCGCGAAGTGATTTGTATGCATGTACGTATATGCATGTTGTCCACTGTAGTGAACAAACTGTAGCAATTATTTAAAACGAAATTTGAATAAAATTAATTTTTTATTATTACTAAGGTTATTTTAAGTAGAAAAAATACAAACATTTTCGTTTAACTTCTCTAGATTATTTGTATGCGACAAAGGGTTAATGATTAATCGATAAAAAAACGTTACTAAATACATATGTATTAGCTATTAAGGAACAGCGGTAGTAGGAAACTATCTACTGCACAAAAGTATTTTTCACATTGGGTATAAATATTTAACAGAGGTTATTGATGTTGGGAAAATACCAGTGTACTAATCACGTAGCCCCTTTGGCGGATTATAAAAACGTTTGACAGTGGCAATGCAACATGTTTCAGTTTTATTTTGCTTCAAATTTCCACGACTTACCAGGAATCGAGCAATAAAATCATTGAACCGTGGTAGTTAAACCCATCCTTGTATCCGGACAAATAGACTGGATAAATGGGAATTTCACTTTTTCTATGCTTGCAACTATGAGGCAGGTCCCCATAAAAGTCCTATATGAAGATATCTCTTCCTTTATTCTCGTATGCTTCATTGTAATCCACATAATACAATCCGAATGTCCGTTTTTGTCGCAAATGGGTTAGGACTCGTAAGTCAGTTTTGAAGTTTTAGTTTAGGTGATCGATCAGTTCCATGTTGCTTTTGTTTCCTTGTTCTTATTTTTTGGTCATTTCGCTCAATTCAAAAAAGGCGCAATATAATGGTGAATATTATATGCAGAGTTTTCAGCTGAAGGATACGTTGGCTCTTATCAATCGACAGTTTATCATCTTCAAAAATTTAAAAGCAAATCAGAAAGTCATTGCTTCTATATTTTTATCAGGCAAGCTAAGGTACCTCCTATAGGTAATTACAAGCATACGTACTTTTTTACGTACCTTACACTATTTTGTTACATAGACCCAGCACCAGTTACACATTTATTTAATCGGAGCACTAAAGTTGAGACGCTCCTGTGGCAGAATTGATCCGGCTGACTGTGGAACTACCCGCCGGACTGCTGTCTCGGCTTCATCGCTGCAAGCAAATCGCTGTCCTGCCAGGAATGTCTTCAGCGGACCGAAAACGTAGAAATTACTAGAAGTCCAGAATGGTGGATGGTTCAGACTCTTCCGGTGAAATGATCAGTTGTGATTGTTGGCCGTTATGATTGCTGCCTCGCGTTGCCGTGGAGGATAACCACGTTGTCCACATCGAGAATCCTTCAGCGCTTTCGCCTGATGAAAGTCAGCAGAGCTGACAGTATGGAAAAATATCTATCGGTATTGATGGTTGCCCGTTATGGCTTGCAATCCATCAGGAGCTGTCCACAGCGATCTCACAAGAGGGTTATCATCACTATCCCAAGAGATGGCACAGAACGGAATATTTCCACTTAAGTTTTCCTCTGCTACTTCGATGCCGGCATGAAATGCAGTATCCACGTTTCTTCGCCAGTAACAATGCGGTATAGGAAACGTTCATCATCTTTGGCAAACCGTTGCTGTTGATTCAGGGAAGCAACCATTTGTCTTGCCTTTCATCATGTCATCCAACTGCTTAGGCAACCACAGAGACGAAACTATTTGGTCACCTAAGGCTCCATGAACGATGTCGTAAACACTCCCACCGGAAATGCCAAGCTCCCAAGAAATGTCCTTGAGGTGCACACACCAATCCACTTTCACCATTGCATTCATGCGAGAAATGTTGTCGACAAACTCTGCAAAAAGGCGTGAAGACTTCGATAGCAATGAGCGTTTGGCTCATTGCTATCGAAGTCTTCACGCCTTTTTGTGTAAATTTTTTGTGGATTTCGATAGGCATTCGTCTCTTACGCCATAGGAAACGAATCATACTTCGTTACTCGTCCACCGTCGACGTGAGAATCACAGGCTCCATTTTCAACAATTGACAGCAGCGTCGTGCCGCGGAGCTACGTTAAGAGTTTTAAGCAGTCATCTTAATGATTTAATTTACTGCTTGTGAAATTAATGAACTTTGTTTTTAATGCTAAAGATAAGCTTGTTTAAATTGTGTTAAGTAAAGGTGTTCGTTTTACAACTTGGGTATATCCTTCATCTGATTTAAACGATCCGGTTATTTAACATCTACATAATGGTTTTAATTACGTAAAATAATTTACAAATATCAGTCTAATAACATGTACATAATACACTGAGTTAAAATCGTCCTTTATAAATTATTGTAAGGACATAAATATTTCTAAACTTTTTCAAGTGTATTTACTATTAATTACATCAAGTAGCTATACCATTAAAAAGATCCAAAGATAAAAAAATAAGAAGCACATATATTGTTTTCAGATCGCTCATTTAATCCCATCCTAAGCGACATGCTTTTATAACCAAAAGCCATCAGTCGTCTACTACAGAACTATGATAGTCCCAGAGCTTCAATTTGTAGGCAAGAACATGGAAAACTTCCGCTTAAGATTGATAATAAATACTGTGGCAAATGAGAATTTGCTGTGCCAAGAGGATGTTATGTGTTAAACATAATATAATGAATAATGATGAAAGAAAAGTGGAAATCCTGCAACGGGCCAAAAGAGCTCCTGATTTAAATCTGAAATAAAACGGCCAATGCAGATTTTATTACAAACTTTATTTTGTCTTCGTACAGAATAATGTTTGTCATTAGTTCATTTTAAAGAATAGTATCATAGAGTAGAATGCCCTCAAGTGCTACATGTTCCTTCGTGTCTCTTTCAAAAATTCTGCGATGTGCCCTTAATTTTTAATTCCATTACTGTCGAGAACTCAGTAAAATATCTTCTTTTAATTCGTCGACTGCAATTCTGATCGGAAATCTATATTTAATAACTTCAGTCATCAAGTAAACTCAGAACCTAATCACAGAAAAGCATATCTGGTGAGGTAGCCATCCACTCAATGTTACACGTTGTGAAATGATAAATCTTGGAAATATTCTTTGCAGAACTCTCAGAGAACCATATGTCAAATCTGCCATAGTTCCATCGTTTTCCAACCAGAAGTGCATTTCCAAGATAGTTGAATTTAGGATAAAGGAAATTGGGTAACATCTTCTTATACCATTTGCATGTTGCAGTGGCATACTTTCTAATATTTCAGAAAACAAAAGCGCTATAGTTCAAAGCATCATGATAAAAGAAATGGTATAATTTGTTCAGTTCAAACATATATATCACTCAATTGCCATTACAAAGAGAGCTGCATAAAGACAAATTAAAAGCAGACAGATCATTCTTCATCATGATCTATCGGTATTGATTCCAATCATTTTCTAGTTTCTAGTTCTAGTCTATTCATTGATATTCCAATCATTTTCTAGTTTAGAATCATATTGTACATATAAAATATCAAATTTACCTGCTGAGGAAATGTTGAAAGAAAAGTTGCCTGTGACGCCTGGCTCTATAGTTCTGCGGCAGGTATCATGGATCCCAGTTAGGTGAGTTACTTTGTCATTGCTCCAGTATACCTGAAAAGTGCATAAGTACAATGTGATTGGTCACTGAATGTCTGCAACTGATATTTACTAATTTGAGCTTCCTATTAATTTCGAGATTTGTATCCCATGCATATTCATCTTTAAGCAAGATAAAAATGTCAAAATTTCACATTAATACAATTTTTTATGTATGCAACACGATTCCGACACTTAAATCCGTTATGAGTATTTTTAAAGCAGAATAAAATAATGAAAATCTCTAAATAATGCAATGTGTTCCTTCAAATCACTCTTATGCAAATATTTCCCTGCCTTCAAATTCAGTATCTTGTTTCAGTTCACGAATATAAAATAATACTTTTTTTCAGGTTTTGGTATTCATCAACATTTTTTATACCTTTTCCTATTTAATTTATGAAACCCACTAAAAATAATTTAAATTTAACTAAATATATTTATATTCTTAGAGTATTAGAAAGGAGCAGAATGGCGTTATCGCCTAACAGTGGTAAAATTAGTGCAAGGGGCAAAACAATTTGAGGACCACCGGTTCAAATGAACCCTTTTACTGGTAGATAAAAATTATAACTAAAAAATGGAAATTTTCCCAAATTAATAATTTAAATTTAACTAAATATATTTATATTCTTCGAGTATTAGAAAGTAGCAGAATGGCGTTATCGCCTAACAGTGGTAAAATTAGTGCAAGGGGCAAAACAATTTGAGGACCACCGGTTCAAATGAACCCTTTTACTGGTAGATAAAAATTATAACTAAAAAATGGAAATTTTCCCAAAATTACTCAGGTTTCTTTGAAGGTGGGGAAGAAATGAACAAATGAAAAGTTTAAGCCGACTTCATAAAAGTATTGTCTTGTACTAAAATGTGTACTAAAAAGGCACCTTTAGTTCTAAGCAAAAGAAAAATCTTAACAAAACACTTCTGTGGATTACAGAATACAGGTTGCCTCAAAAAGGTAGTTGCCAAACTTAACATGCTGGTCTGCCATACTATGACAAACAAGATTTACGTAGGAGCTTGTGTTCCAAAATGTGAACGAAGACCGCTAGAGGGCAGTGTTCGCAGGCTTATGGGAGAGGGGAAAGTGCGATCATTTCAGGGGAGGACGTTGCAGGGGAAGAATTAATCGGTTTACTACCTCAGATCTTTATGAAGATTTTGTGGAAAGAACGTTGCCGGATCTAATGATTGATCTTCCAACAACTACACGTCGAAACATCTGGTTTCAGCATGACCAGAGCGCCTGCACATTTTAGCAAGCACTGTGCGGGAATACTTCGATAGGACATATCGTGATAGCTGGATTGGAAAAGACGAACCGCGATCTCCCCCCCGAACTGACTTCCCTGGATTTCTACCTGTGGGAATACGTTGAAGTCCATAGAACCATCCGTGAATCCATGCGTCGACGTTGTGAAGCTTACATTGTGGCGAATGGAAGAAACTTTGAACATCTTTTGTGATTTAATCATGCTGTTCAAAAAGTCATATTAACACCTCTTTAATATGTTTTGTTTCTTCCTCTCTACGCTTGCGAGCATAACGCCCTAACGGTCGTCGTTCGGATTTTCGGACGCAAGTTCCTATGTAAATGTTCCTTGTCGTGGTATGACAGACCAGCATGCAAAATTTGGCAACGACCTTTTGAGACACCTTGTATAAACCATTCCAGAAAACATGAGGCTATGAATCTGTTGAATTATTTAATAGAATAATTGATTATATGTTTTTTGCCTTCCATTTATCGCCCTCTCTAGAATCCTAAGACCTATAAATTATAAATGAAAAGTTACACTTAAAATCTTCCTTTCTTATTCTTCAGCTAAAGTAGATTAATGAAAAATTTTGTTAGAATTAATTAGTAAGTATGCGGTTCTAGGAATGGCTCTTATTAGCTTAGAAACTGAACGTAATGCATATTCGGATTTCATGGGTTTGGGAAATGTAATGTATGAGTAATCACAGGTAAAATTCAAAAAGAGCACATTATTAAGACGCAATAACACGCCGAACAAATACTAATTCAGAAGTCAAACAACAAAAATCAGCGCTGATTTTTGTTGCTTGACTTGTGAATTAGAGCCCATTATGTTCATCACATTGACTTCAAAAATTACGAATCTTTATTAGTTTGCATTGCTTCTGTTCCACCTACTAACAGAGCGATTTATATACATGATATATGCTTTTGTGACAAAAAAAAAAAAAAAAAAAAAAAAAAAAAAAACTATTAGAGATTGACTACGATTTACTCAGCATTCTGTTATTTGACATAGATTTCATTCTTGATAGAAAACTTGCGATTTACTCAGCATTCTGTTATTTGACATAGATTTCATTCTTGATAGAAAACTACAAGCTGTTTGAGGTCATGTGCCACCCAAAGTTGCTAATGACTCTGCCTGCGATGCCGAGGAGCACGGGTTTGAAACCTGGAGAAGGTATGGATGTAAGTTGTCTGTACCTTTCTGTACGAGGCAATGGTGGGTCGCTACTTTGGTGACACCATAATAAAGAGATCACCGCTTCTGTCCTTAGTAGCTGGTAACATCTATAAACGGTTATCGGCCGCCATTGAAAAAACATGCCTATGGTCAGGTAGTTTGTGATTTTCTGTCACTATGCAGTGGTCAAACTAACATTCTTAATTTCGTCAAACGTTAAAATATTTTCATGCTCATAAAACCATAAGATCCTCCTTTTAAGAAACTTAAGATCTGGTAGTGATTTGAAAAGCCGATAGTATCGAATATTGATAGGGGGGAATCATAAACGAAGCGTTTTTGAAGCATTTAGCTAGGTACACTGCTAAAAAAAAGGGGGGGACAGTTTTATATCTCTCGTTATACTGAGCCTATTGACGAACTTCAAGTCTCGAAAGCACGACTTAGGATACGTATTAGATTTTATACATAGCGTAGAGCTAATATAGGTATTCTTACACAAAATCAGACTTTTCCTGAAATGAATATTTTTTAGCTCCTCGATATTAATTGAATTTGGTATATATTTATTAATCTCTCGTTTTTTATTAAACTTATGTGACTCTTTATTTCGCATTTCAAAATTTAGGTTCATTTCAAATAAAATTCGCCCATTTTTTTATGATTTCTTATTAAAATTTGCGTTTTAAAATAATTATTATAAATCTTTCAAAAAAAAAATCTTAGTTATAACCTATAAAATTTTTAACATCATCTTAAAGTAGATGTATTTCTAAGTATATCTGCAAAACGTTTTTATTGAAAATTTCCGAAGATATATTTGAATTATATATTGGCGCGTTTTCAAATTTGGCATATTTGTTGAAAGCGATAAAACATCACATGTGGTTTACGCACTTTGTTAAAATTATTTAAGCGTAGGAACGATGTGACTTTTACCCCTCGTGCACAATGTAAAGGGAAAGGAAAATCGGTTGCCATAAATTAAGAAGTTCGCCGAGTAAATTATAGTTGTAAGGATCTTAAGTTTTACTAACGTTTATTTTTATTTTAAATCTTTACTATCACTTCTTATTTTCTACTTCCGGCCAGAATTAAAAGCTTTAGCTTATTTATGCAAATTTGTCTGGCGAACGCCAAGTACTTAAGTTGTGGCTTTTTGCCAAGCAAGAAGAGAGGAAGGAGTTAGTCGAAGCAGGCCGCTTGCCTTAGCAGTTTTACTCGGTTGCTGGTTGCCTTCCAGGCCAGAGGTTTAATCCTCTTGATAATCTTAAACGTATTGTAGTGTTAACAGTTCTCTGTACTACATACGGCTTCCTGTTAATATCCGGCCAATCTTCCACGTAGGCCCTTGTTTATTATTCCAAAGTTAAGTTAGAGTTTAGTTAATATTTTTATATTCTTACGTTCAGACCACAAGTAGTTGGTTTCTGTATTCCGAAGTACGGAAATTATTGTAAAGAGTGAAAAAATAAAGGGTTTCGTATACCCTTCCTGTGTATCTTGTCTACTTCCCACATTTATTGGACATAGCTTTAGTAAGCTCCCTGTTCCGAGTCAGGTTCGTGAATATTCCCAAAGCAAGTAAGGCGGAACACAGTACAGTTATATCGGATACAGTTACATACAGTTATATCGTTAAAATGAAAAAAAAGTGCGCCAGGACAAATTTTTTGAATTTCCCCGTAAATTTCACACCAAATTTTACAAAATTTGAAATTTAGACATAATTTATGTCGTAGAATCGAAATATGGAAAAGAATTGGGATGTCATTTCAAAAAAGTCCGATTTTGTGTCAAAATCCGTATGATAGAAGAATGCTATATATAAATATAATTACGACACGCGCGTGGTCGTGTTTTAAAATTCGGAAAAAAATTTTTCTCAAATATTTTGTAATTTTGTGTTATTAATTACCGTATGTTATTTTCATTTGAATACCTTTGGCTCTGTAAATTTTATATCGGTTTTCATGGGAAAAAAATATGTGCAACCAGCTGATTTTGTTCGGATTCTTCATAAATATTCTGATGAAGAAAAGGAAGACAAGGAAATCTTTGGATGGGAGAACAATAGCTATTTCTTTCCTTATTTTCTTTAATTTATATTTTTTGGAAATAAATAAAAATATTAAAGTTAGTTTAAAGCGAATTTTCGTCACCAGTAAGAAGTAAATAATGCTAAACTTACTTTTTTTACTACCAAGGTACTTTCCTTTTTTTTTTGTTTATACTTGCCTCTGATGAATTGGGGGGGGGAGTTAAATTTTCTGAATCGGCTACCGTAGAACGTGAGGTATAGATCTATTCCATTTGTTTTTGCGCAGAATGTACATTAATATTAAGCAGATATTGAAACCAGCCATATACTGCAGAACATGACATTAAATTTATATAATTGTGTGCATCTATTTGCATATAATAGTAGAGTAAAACATTAAAGAAAAGTATACATGGGAAAACTAAATTCTTTTTTATTAATAATCAGCTAATTAGTTGAGATTATTTAAGTCTCGAAACTTAGGCATAGGTTTATACAGTTTGTGGCAAATAAGACCTACTAATGTTAAACACAGATAACTCTTTGTAATAATCATTTATTTTGATTAATTTTTTATACATTAAATATATTTTATGGAAATTATGTATTTTATGAAATTTTATGACATCAGACAAATGTCCACCATTTTTCTCGATACAGAGATTGGCTCTTTTTAACGTAATTTTCCGTTACACCAGGTAATGTTTCTCGTTGATAGCTCAGTATTTCGTCTCGAATACTCGGCTTCAGCTGTTTAATAGTCTATGGTTTATTAACATACACTTTGTCTGCTAAATATACCCATAAAACAAAGGACTCAGCTCCGCCATTGGCCTCAAAAAGTTTTCAATTATTGTTCTGTAAGAAGCTCCGGAAATTGTTTCCGTCGTTCCACCACTCTCATTCTCGAAGAAATATGGGCCATAACACATCATCAAACGGTACACTTGAATTAAAATATTGCCTATATTTACGCTGCGACATAACAATTGATTGTTGATGAGACTAGAAAAACTCGATAATTTTTAACATTGGTAGGTCTTATTTGGCCCTCTATGTATAACTGTATTTGTACCGCAAATGTGCTAATTAATTTATTAATATACTCCCATGACCAAAGCTAAAGTTTTTCTAATAATTAAAATTATAATTTAGTTATTTGTCTGTCCAAATTATGCGATAGATGCGGATCTTACGCAAGTATTATTTATTCATAACATTTATCGTATAAATTAAACGTCAGCAATCCGCTTAACTTTGTTACCGCAACAACAAATAAAATAAATTCTAAGAATTTTTACAATGTGCTGTTGAAATTATTATTAAGTATTAGTGAGATTAAAAAATCACAAGTTACTGAGATAATGATTGAGGGCTATATGAGCATTAAATAACTGATGCATTTTAATACATAATTCTTTATTCTCTAGATCTATAAAACGTCATTACACAGAAAGTGACCAATTGTTTGTGGTACTTACGAAGCAGTACTTATTTTTGGTATTCCTTAATCCAGTTACTAGGTAACTTCTTCCATTTTCTTCCCAGTCACCGTGACAATGGAAACCTAGAAAATATTTTCAATTATAGTTAAATTACTTTTTTATATGGAGGACAAGATTGAACAAAAAAATTCTTCAAAAAATCCCGAAATTTTCTGTGAATATTTAAATAAATTTTGTTCCTTTTTATATATTTTCTGTTGCTTTTGTTGGAGAAATGTTTTCCTCACGATATGATAAAATGAAATCCAGAATTCATATCTGACCGCTGTCAAATGATTATTTAAGCAATTGAAGATCTAGGGAAAGAAAATCTTGGATTGATGTTTTTCCTTCCGATTACTTGCGATGACGTCATTGCACAGCTTTTAATGACGCCATATAGAAAGATTCACTGCCATGGAAAGATTACTACATTAGAGCTTTGGGGTAAATTTGACGGCTGGCAGTCCGTCAACAGGAAAAATACCATCATTTACTATACTCCAGGTTGTCGTTTCCTTTCTGTATATCAATAATATTGTTGTGTTCTATTAGTTTGTGGATTCGGATCAGGTGGGATGACAGCATTAGATGGAGATTCAAACCACGATTTATTCTTCAGTATTACACAAGACATTTCCAAAGATGCGTTACAGTTGTCGAGAAACTACGACAAATACGCTGAAACAATCAGCAACACAGCCTTCAGGCTATAAAGGTGAAGACAGCCTCACGGCAGATCACGAAAGTACGGCTCCCGACTACTAAGGAACTTAGATACTACTACTATGGACTACTAAGGAACTTAGATTATTAGGATGAACTTCTATTACAAACCGAATTGCAGATTAACCTTTTGAGGCCGGGGCTTTGGTAGCAGTAAAAGCTACCAACTAGGGCAATCTTGAACTAATGCTTGGCCCCCTTTAAGAAATCACCTCCTATTTGCAACAAAGATTCTTGTGTGTAGTTTAATGGATACTCAGAGGGGTGCATCCATGTCGCAAAAGGAAGACCTTTGAAAGAGATAAGTGGTTTAAAGCCCCAGGGACATCAAATTTGACATTTCACCCCACTTTTCAGCCTGGAAAATGGGGGAAAAAGACATGGCCACTAAAGTGAACAACCCGTCTTTTCAAAGAGAGGACTCTATAGCCACTATAATAGGCATCTCGTCTTCAAAAGGTTAAAATAGGAAGACTAATAGATGCAGAAAACTTCAAAATGAAATCGCAAATTGAAGAAAATCATTTAGACACGTTTGATCAAAATCCTCGAACAAGTAAGCCTCAGGTCAACATATTATAGAATGGGTGATAGTTCCTATTTTATGTACCGAAGTTCTTTTCATTGTAAAAGTTCGAAATTTTCCTTCTTTTGATCAAGATATAACACATCTCAGCGGCATAGCATTTATCTAAATAGTTTGAATCTACAATGGTATGAACCAGATATGAATCTTACCTTTATTTATTAAGGTCATCTCTGTTGTTCGTTTTCAAATTCGTTTTATTTGTTCTACCTTTCCCTGTCATATTCAAATCATTGCTACGAAGAACTTACGCTGTTATTTATGTTATGAACTTATGTTGTTACTTACGAAGAACTTATGTATGTTATGAAGTTGAAAACAGTTATTTCGATCAACTATGAAAATAGATAGTTACTTTTAACATCTGTGAACGAAGTGCAGCTGGTTGAAAATACTATAGCGTCATTGGACCGACATCCCACAACCCGGGCCGCAGAGTCGCGACACAGTTCCGGTCGGAAGGAGGAAGCTGCTGACTTCCCCATCTGGATTCTCAAACCATTCGTTTCTACGAGCTGTGGACAGCCGGAAGTAGATGCGGAAGGTGCTATAGAAAGAATAAATAATGTTCACATTCAATGATTATAATCATAATGGTGAAGCTAGTTCTACGAAAATAAATCTCTATCGATTTGAATATTAATATTTCTTTCGATTAATTTAAATGATGACTAATTTATATATCTGAGGAATCTAAAGTTACGCACATCAAGTAACTGTCGTATTGTTACCTAATTGCAGTTGTAATAATTCCATCATACATCCATGTAGTCAGTTGCTGCACATTTTTACTGATAGTTCTCAGTTTGACTGTCATTTGAAAGTTGAAGTTGGTATGTTTTCGAATCTTTTTACGTCGCTGTAGGATACATTGGTGCTTCCTTTAAAGGTGAAGTACTAGCAATATGTATAGCCCTAAAGTAATTAATAGCTATCCATTACAATTTTGTAAAGGCTCTCATTTTGTTTCTGATTCTCCCGCACACATTCAATCAAATAGCTCTGTTGAACACACATTAACGCCTGTGATTTTTCAATGTCCAGAATTCCTGAGAAATTTAAAGGGGAAACAAATCATTCCCTAGTGGGTGCCTGGATAGTGTGGCGTTTGGGGCAATGAAACAGGGGACTTCTTTGTAAAATGAGGCGCCAGCTTACTGCAGCGTCCTAAAACAGCCATTTCTTATTGGAGGATTAAACTGTTTTAAAAACTGTTTTTTACGTCTAATATCTTACGAGATCTTCAGACTGGTACAATACAACTTACTACACTCATGTCCATAAATTAAGGATAATTCGGAGTCACGCGGAAATCGAACTCTAGAATAAATATATCACCTGTAAAATCACTACACACATCTTCAGGAATCATATGCAAATCTCAGGAAGTAACCAGATGACACCGATGGTACGTCACAATAACGAGAGTGTAAAAGAGTTATATATAAGGAATACAGGCAAAGAAATAAAATTGTTCGCAGGCGCTTTATAAGCATTTCAGTACAATAACCGAATAGTTATGACACAAAGGACGCATTTGGATGATTTTTTACCTGGTAGAATTATCGGCCGTCTGGAATGTGGACATACCCAACTGGAAGTATCAGACGAACTTGGAATTGCCCAGAGTGTCATCTCCAGGCTTTGGCAACGATTCCAAGATGATGGTGATGTGAGTAGACTTTACAGCACAGGTCGCCCCAGAGTTACAACGCCGAATGAGGACCGGTATTTGACAGTTACTGCCAAAAGAAACAGGCGGAGCACAGCCTCAGACCTGTCTCTTCAGCTCTCTTCAGCCACTGGTACGACAATTTCAAGTCAGACCGTGTACAGACGCTTAGGGCAGATTGGTCTATATGCTCGTAGATTGTCAGATGCGTTCCACTTACTGCAACTCACTGTCGCTTGCGGTTAACCTGGAGTAGAGAGCATGCATTGTGGACACCGCAAAACTGGGATTGTGTGATGTTTTCCGACGAGTCCAGGTTTAGCTTGCAGTCTGATTCTCGCCGGGCGTTCATATGAAGAACTCCAGGTACCCGTTACCACCAAGAAAACATCATTGAACGACACCGTTACGGTGGTGCAGGAGTGCTCGTTTGGGGTGGAATTATTCTGGGTTCCAGAACTGACCTGCATGTTCAAATTGGAGCCATGACAAGCCAAATCTATCGGGACGTCATTCTGGAACAACATGTACGTTTGTTTCGGGGCGCCACGGGCGCACAATTTGTGTTTATGGATGACAACGCCCGTCCTCACCGTGCAAACATCGTAAGCGAATGCCTACAATCGGAGGATATTACCCGTATGGACTGGCCAGCATTCTCACCGGACTTGAATCCAGTAGAGCAGGTGTGGGATATGCTTGGCCGACGAGTTGCAGCCCGTCAACCTCCTCCTACATGTCTACCAGAGCTCGGAGAGCATTGCTTTTTTAATTGTGTAATATCCCCCATGATCAGATCGATAATTTGACACTGAGCATGCCTAAGCGTTGTACGGACTGTATTGCATCGTCTGGGAGACATACAATGTATTAACAATCATAATAACCATGTAATATTGGTTTTTTGTAAATAGGTTTTTTTTTTGTAATTTGCTCCAGGGAGAAAAAATCGCTGATTTTTTTAATAATATCAAATATATAGCATCTTTTTTTGCTCTTTGCCGTTTGTTTAATAAATAAGCTTTACAAATAAGTCAAATTTGTTTTGCTTGTAACTCTTCCTTTGCCTGATTTTGCATTATCCTTAATTTATGGACATGAGTGTATTTCCAAGACGCAATGTAGTTGCTGCTTCCCATCTGTCTACAGGACATGATTTCACCGCATAGTCGTTTCAAGCCATCCTATTTGTGATTCTGGTGAAGAAATGGACAGAATCTCATTTGAATACTATAAGACTGAGTAAAGAGAGAATGAAATTGATATTCATACAGTTGGGTATTGGACTGGGGAGAAATTAGGAGCTGCCTATTAGTATGGTATTGAAATAGGGAACGAAAAATTTAAATTTGGAAGTTGTAATGGTATGTTTCAAGCAGAACGACTTGGAATTTTTAAAGCTCTTCAGCCGTTACGAAAAAGGGAAACGACGACTTAAAGAAAGCCTTTGCGAATTATGCTAAAAAATATGTAGAAGAATTGGGAAACCCGTGGGAGTACTCTACACAAAGAAACGATTTTTTGCACGCTTTTAAAATTAACAGAAATACAAAAACCTATCTGAAGCACAGATGTTAATGAAATTATATAAGCGGCCTTGGATGATTTTGCTATTATTTTAATAGGTTTGGTCTTCAAGATAATGCAAGTTGTGCAATGTGAATGGAGATGCTCGTCATTTTGTGGAAGAGTGAGCTATTACTAGAAGTATGGTAGGAGCAGACAAGGATTTGTGAATTACTGTAGTGTAGGAGTAAAAAGGATTGAAGAGAAAATTATGGCAATAATAGATCAAGACAGAGAGAAAATAGGAAAAATATGTTGGTTTACATGTGGGTACGTATTTTTGTTAGTTTTTTTTTTAAATTTTAGTTTAGTTTTTAGTGCTTTTTTTTTCCCGATGTAGGGATTATTTTAGTTTTCTAATAATTTCAAAGGGATTTTGTCCCTGTAGGACTATTGTTTTCGTTTTGCGATTTTGTGTTGAATATGCGTGTCACTTTTCAAATTGTTGCCACGAAATGCCACTTGAATTATATTTGAAGGAATTAAATAATAATGTATGTCTCTTTTTCTCATTGTAATTAAACAACGGTACCTAGAAATCGAATTTTGAATGACGTAATCCTCCTACGAATATGGGCATGTGGAAGACTTAGCTTAGCTGCCTTCAGGCCATGTCGTTGCTTTAAGCCTATCTTACTATGTAAGGCCCATTAAGTGCCCGTTCATTTTCGCCGGTGAGGTTCAATTGTGGGCCAAATTGGTTATTTATCTTTGAACAACTTTGTAACTAGATAGTATTAGATTAGTTTATTATTTTCTCTTCTTAAGTTAAGGCCCAAGTGGAGGAAAGTGGCCAAGTGGAGGAAAGTGGCTAAGTGGAGGAAAGTGGCTAAGTGGAGGCCAAGTGGAGGAAAGTGGCCAAGCGGAGGAAGAGGCCAAGTGGAGGTTCCTTTCAGGGAATAAAAGGGTTTCAGGAAATGTCTTAAATAAAAGAGAATTTTAATTCCTCTTTGGACATTTTATTGTAGAGGGGAATATTTTCGCTCTGGTACGCCACACAAATAAAACATATTTTGAGAATACGGTTATGAAGTTTGACTTATTTAAATTTTGCGATGTTTCTGTAAAATGCTCGTATATTATAGCTATGTAAAGTGGTCTATAGAGCTTCAAGATGTATCAGGTTTTTCATGAATTATACTATATCTTTCAATCAAATACATATTCGTGTGATTCGAAAAAATGTAATATTTTTACAAAGCAAAACAATCAATATTTATTATTCTTTTGATAGATTAAAATAATTTAAAAGCATTATTTGTAAATTATATATTTAAAATTTATGTATTATTTGTATATTACGTACCTACAAGTGTTACAAATTCCTGGTTGCTATAAATATCAGAAAAAGCGGAATGACACGCTTCTTGTGAACTTCTTGCTAAGTCACCTGTTCAAAAAAATAGTAAACGATTAGGTACGCTTAAATGGCAACATATACATAGGCATTTAAAATAAATCTTTATCAGTATAAGAATATTTTCAGGATTTTTAAGACTATTTTTATTAGTTTAATTTTTTTATATATATTTCTCATATACAATATATGTAATAATAAAATTCCATAGTCAAGAATACACTTAAAATTCTAACTGTATGTTCTTTTCATTTTTAATTGCGACGTTCTCTTATTTGAAAGTACGTGGAATTAAATCCACAGCCCCGTAGTCAAGTTGTTTTCCCCGCCTTTTCTACACGTACAGTATTAGAATGTTCTGGAAATATTTAAAGCGAACTGGATTGGCTGACGTCATTTCTTGGAAGCTCCGCCTTTCCAGAGGCTATAAAAAGAACTCTCAAAAGAATATCGGGGGCTTTTTCTTAAATGTCACGATGCAGTAAACTTCATACAAAAAGTTATTAGTAATTCTTTTATTTTCTCCGGATGTCTGATTTTGTAACTGCTATTTTCTACTGAATAATAATAAATGGATCCTGTTTTTTTAAACTTATCGTCTGATAATTTAAGTTACGACTAAAGCTGGTCCATCACATATATATATGTGGTGGACCAGCTTTTGTCCAGAATAAAAGATTGGTGAAGAATCATTAAATGTAGTCGTAACTTAAATTATCAGACGATAAGTTTAAAAAACAGGATCCATTTATAATATTATTCAGGGAGAAATAGCAGTTACAAAAATCAGATATCTTCGGAGTAAATAAAACAAGAATTACTAATAACTTTTTGTATTTCACGTTTACTACATCGTGACATTAAGAAAAAGTCCCCGATATTCCGTTTTTGCGAGTCCTTTTATAGCCTCTGGAAAGGCGGAGGCTTCCAAGAAATGACGTCATCCAATCCAGTTCGCTTTAAAAATACTTCCAGAACATTCTTATAACTGTACGTGTAGAAAGAGGCGGGAAAAAAAAACTTGACTACGGGGCTGTGGATTTAATTCCACGTACTTTCAAATAAGAGAACGTCGCCATTAAAAATGAAAAGAATATACAGTTAGAATTTTAAGTGTATTCTTGACTATGGAATTTTATTATTACAAATATATTCAATTTAAGTTACGGAGCATAGGGAAAAGAGCTATATGGTTGAGAATTACCAAATTTTATTAGATTATAATATTCTATTAGTGAAATTACGTTTCTAGTCTCAATTATTGTCGTTTGACGAAACGCGCTATAGATATTAACTTAATTCGTGTTTTGAGCTGCTTTTCTCTTGATAAATCCGGCTCAAACCTCGATTTGAGGTTTTTACCATTTGATGCAGTTTTTTTGTACATCTGTACTCTGCTTTTGAAATATATTTATCTTTTTCCAGAGTCCTTTTGTACATTGTTTGCGTTAAAATTTATTATTTTTTCTCACCTTTTTGATTTGGAAGACATCTTGACTTGTAATTTTAACGTTAAGCTTCTACGAAATGGTTTATACTAGTTTCTAGTTTTTGCATGATTTTAATTTTGGTAAGGAACTATAGAGTCTCATTTTTTGTGCATAAGCTTTTAAACATTCCTCTTACTTCTAAAAAAAGTAAATTAATAATATATACTCAGAATTAAGAATAAGATAAGAATTGCATAGGAACCCGGAAATGTCAGGGGTAAGTTGTAGCGGAAGTATATACTTCAAGTTAAAAGTAAGCGGAAGTATTTATTGTTCATGTATACAAATGATGTAAGGCAACTTGAATGATACAACAGACGCTCGAAGTTTGCAGACGACTTTTGCCACAAGATCCATTTCAGACACATCAGAGCATGAGAGTTTTGATGGCTTCCCAGAAAAATAAATTAAGGCTCGATAAATCCGATGAGCTTGTCCAATCCATCCACGCGGGAATGATTTATTGAAATTAATACGAAACCCCATTATGTTGGAATGGCATGTTGAACATGACATTGGAAGAACCTGCTACAGAATAATCAAATCGCGGTATTTAAATGGTAGGTAAGGAGGTAGGTACGTACGTATGTAAGTACATAATTAAGCACGTGAGTACGAAAGCAAGCACGTATTTACGGAAGTAAGTACGTACGTAAGTAAGTACGAACTTATGTAAGTACATAAGGAAGTAAGTACGAACGTAAGTAAGGACGTAATTAAGTACGAACGTAAGTAAGGACGTAATTAAGTACGAACGTAAGTAAGGACGTAATTAAGTACGAACGTAAGTAAGGACGTAATTAAGTACGAACGTAAGTAAGGACGTAATTAAGTACGAACGTAAGTAAGGACGTAATTACGTACGAACGTAAGTAAGGACGTAATTAAGTACGAACGTAAGTAAGGACGTAATTACGTACGAACGTAAGTAAGGACGTAATTACGTACGAACGTAAGTAAGGCCGTAATTACGTACGAACGTAAGTAAGGCCGTAATTAAGTACGAACGTAAGTAAGGACGTAATTAAGTACGAACTTAAGTAAGGCCGTAATTAAGTACGAACGTAAGTAAGGAAGTACGTACAGATGTACGTAAATACGAATGTAAGTAACTATGTACAAATGTATGGAAATAAGAACTTACGTAAGTACTCGTACATAAGGAAGTAAGAGCGTAAGTACGTAAGTACATAAGGAAGTATTTAAGTACGTATGAACATAAGTAAGCACGCAAGAACGTAAGTAAGTACAAACGTAAGTACTACCGTAAGTACGAACATAAGGTACCAAGTACGAAAGTAAGTACGAAAATACGAAAGTATTAAGTGAGTATGTACGTAAGTAAATACGAACGTAAGTAAGTACGAACATAGGTAAGTGCGAAAGAACGTAAGTAAGTACACTAGTAACGAGAGTGCGGACAGACTAGAAGTACCGAGAGTGCATACACACTAGAAGTATCGAGATAGCAGATAGAGTAGTAGTACAGAGAGTGCAGACGCACTAAAAGTACCGAGAGTATCGAGATCAGCTAAAAGTATCGAGAGTGCAGACACGAGATTGCAGATAAACTAGAAGTACAGAGAGTGCAGACGCACTAAAAGTACCGAGAGTGCAGACACACTAGAAGTATCGAGATTGCAGATAGAGTAGTAGTAATGAGAGTGCAGAAGCAATAAATGTACCAATAGCGCAAACACAGTAGAAGTACCAAGATTGGAGAGTACATAGAGTAGAAGTACTGAGAGTGCAGACTCACTAAATGAACCGAGAATGCCATTTTTAATTTTTTTCCAGTTATGCCATTTTTAATGTGCATAACTGTGGTCTAGGTGCTAAATCTGTACTGACATTGATACACTAATATAAACTATTGCAATGACTATAAAGACACCCGCATTGGAAAACTGGCGTTCGTATCAGAGTAGAAAAAGCGCTTAAAACAGTTATAGAGCACACAATTCCAAGTCGTGACGGTGGAGTGTGTCAATTATGTTTTTGATACTAATGGGGATTTTCCGGTGCTTTATCAAGAAGCGTTTGATGACTGTTCCTGGCGCTGTGCGATGGCGGATATGACAGTCTTCTGTTATTGGGCATTGAAATTAATAATGGTCTGAATCACCCGGATTGCCACAAACGCATATGAAAGGTTTCGTTCATAGAAGTACTTTGGGTACGGTCCATAACCAGAGATATATTGAGAGAGATAATAATTATAAATAGTGCGCTCTGTATCGACACATAGGAGAAGTGAATGCATCCTTCTGTCTTGCGGTCCTTGATCCTATTGTCTCTGCCACTCTTCTTTGGCCATCATTTTTAGAGTAAACTTCAGTGTGGAGCGTGCCTGACTGTTCGAGGAAGTGCGCTTTTACATTCCTGGCGCAATTGCTATGACCTTTAGTCCATGTAAGAAGTAAGTTCTTTTGGCTGGAATTGATAATTGTTTGTATTTAACGGGCTATTGGTGAATTTGTGCAGGGATTTTTAATAGCATAGATTGATGATTGGCTGTCACTGACGATATAGACTGTGTCCGTTGGTAGTTGGTGGAGCTCTTGCATACTTTAGAGTATTGCTGTCAGTTCACCTTGGTGCACGCTGTTTAGATCTCTAAGGTGCCCTTGCCATTTTGTGTAAGAGCTAATGTTATATTGGATGGTTGCAGCACTGCCAACCTTTTGTTCGATCTTTGAGTGTGGTGTTTGATCGTTGTGGGTGGTGGTTTGTCGAAAATGCAGTTTTGAAGATTCAAAGCTGGGTGATGAAAGTACTTTTTAGGCTGATCTTCGTAGTGCAGTTGGGTGGAATGTGGTGTCATCGTAGTTTGTTGGGTGGAAGTTAGTTGTTTTCTTAAGTTGGAGGAGTATTGTGGAAATTGTATCCATTTGTGCTTGGATTGGGAGCGGGAGCACACCTGCCAGTGTCTGTAGGTCGTTGTTAGAGGTAGTTGAGAATGCTTTGGTGATGTTTATAAGGAAAGGTCTTTGTATGACGTTTAGAACTCGCACCTTTCTGGTGGTCATAGGTATTGCCCAAATAGCGGCTCCATATGTGATGATCTTGTTCACCACGGTTTTAAGTAGCATTTTCATAATTCGGTGGTTCAAGCCCCATGAGTAACCACGCGTTGTCTTCAGAGCTTGTGCTATTTTCATAGTGGTGAGTTTTTTTTTGTTGTGTAAGTGCTGAATCCAGTTGAACTTGTTATCAATTGTGAGGCCGAGGTAGTTAATCGTTTTCACGCATCAGATCCCGTGGTTGTCTATTTTAAATGTGGGATTTCGAGTTATAGTTCCTCGTGTGGACAATCAGTGCCTGTGATTTTTGGTGTGTTTCTGGAGTTGTTCTCTGGAGCGGACGTTGATGATGAAAGCAACATCGTCTGCAAATGCTGCGATTTGAATGTGGGCAGGCCAGTGATGGTCGATAATATGGTCAAAAGTGAAATTCCAGAGGTCCGCGCTCATAGACGATCCCTGCGGCATCTTCTTGCTTGGTGCTGTGTGATGACCGAGTTGTTGTGGAGTACTATGCTTT